TATAATATAATATAATATAATATAATATAATATAATATAATATAATATAACATAAGGTAACATAATATCCTATATTTGGTGTGTAAATAAACCATTTCACCATGCCCTTCTTGCATCAAAGTTGAACATCGTGCTACCACTTGGTATCGACAGCTCGTCTTCGAAACTCCATAAAAAATTCAAGTTTCCAGAGTGCTTGTGCCCTCACAAGGGAGTAAAAACTATGCCAATCAAAGCCGACGCCAGAATGGATATACCGGAATACTGTGTGACCGTTTACTGTGAATGGACTATTCCATCAATAACACATGATATGGTGATTTTATGCTGTCATATCTTTACTTAACATGCCTCCTAAAAATCAGGTCTTTTTTTTCATAAATTGCATTATTTTACAGAAATTCGTTGCATTGTTTAATTTTACGTCGGAGGCTGATATGCTCACAGTGGCCACCGGGAATGACATACGACAGTAAGTCTATGGTCTTACCAGCGAGTATGGTGTTTTGAAGCACACAGTTCCCCTTAGTAAAGACCACCATGGACCAGCAACACCTTCTTAAACATGTTCCCTACAAAGATGTTCTGGTATATTTTCATAGTTTTCTGTTAGATACGAAGTATGTAGAAGAGGAACGTAGCCCATTTATAGCATATGTAGCCCATTTATGACATACTATGCCAGCCCTGTTCAAAGATCTGCCCCAAAGGACCGTATGCTAAGTAGGAAGTCCAAAGTGCAGTTAGTATACGGACACCATATAAACTTAGGAATGGCTATAGGGCACGATTTCCGTCTACTGACCTCCTGCACAGTATCCAAACTAGTAATCCAATGAATGGATTCGAGATTGTATTCTAGTCAACCCAAATTGGAATGCTTCTTGACTCGAAATTCTGATGTTGCACATTTCAGGTTTTCGAGTAAATCGAGGGTACTTGTCAGAAAGGAATGGAGGTTACCAAAGAATCCACAAGCAGTAACCATTTCGTACAAGCGTGATGTGCGAGCAAATTCGTCATTATCGTCTGCGATGTCATCATTTCTCGTCAGTTGGATGCCCAATGAAGGTCGGACAAGGAACTGCTTTGTAAGCGATGAACAGCGCGAGCTGCTTCCATTACTTCTAGGATGTTCTTGTGACAACAGCTCAATTAGAACTGCAGTTGTTGGCGAGTGGGATGTGCTGACATCGCCCGCTTATCCTCTGTCATGCTGTAACGACATGCTTTGCGTCACGAGAATAGTCGCTCCGGAAGGGTAATGCTTTTGTTTGACCGAAAAAACTTTCCGAGTAGAATTTCTCGATAAAAGCAAAATGTAGGAAACTAGCAGAGAAAACATAGTCTCGATGTCCACTCACCACGGTAGAGGCGCAGTTCCGAGGAGGAAGTCGAGAATAGGGAAGACGGGAGTTGAGGAATTGTGAATTTGCAAAAACCTTTACCCTATTAGATCTGTATCGACTGGAAAAGTTTACAAGTCATGTTTATGCTGACTTGAGCCTACAGAATCTATCAGTCGATATGAATCTGATATCGGTGCAGAATTCTGTGGCATCAGTGACTCACCAACTCTGCGAATTTCTCGCTTGTTTCTCGAAGGGGTATTGTGTAGCAGAATGAGTCACGATACAGTGAGTCATGCTTACCATTTCGACCATTTCAACGTCGACAGGGAGCGGTAAACTCGCACTCTGACTCACATTTATGCATCCTACAGGAGAACCGATCTCTACATATTAGTACCGGACACGACGGGAGCTTTTAACAAAGTTAATGCTTCAGCAACTATACCCCTTCTGTTTTGGAGGTATACCTCATACCAAAGGCCATACTCCATTGTGAGAACCAGAACCTTTTCGGTAAGCTGTATACTATATTAGTAGAGCTACGCAAAATTCTCGCACAACTATTCAGAATCTGTAGATTCATTTCGTTGGAAACAATTGATCTATTGAGATTTAATCAGCAACAACTAGTTTGTAGGCATCATGTTGTACTGAACATTACCGACTTCTACTGGGAACCCTATAACGATAAGCTGTCGCTATTCGATGGATGGAATATCTTTGGACGGCCCATGGAGATGTGCGTGAAATTTCGGTATTTCATTTTCATAAAGTCATTGGAAAGTAATTTAGTGGCCTCGCAAGAGTTAAAAAAATATGGCCACTGAGACTTCCAAACGACCCTAGCAAGACCTAGGCGAGACAGCTAACTATGTAGCTAACAATAAGAACTGCACGCATTATGTGGGCATCGGGACTACTATACCCATCATAATAGCGATAACATCTTGTAAAGTTGGCATTTTTAACTCAAGATATCTTCATTCTACAGCAGCAGACCTTTTAATGACGTGTTACGACGTATTCATATTCCATTCGGGACCATTCAAACTGATGAATTACTGCTTGTGCACAGACAATACTTCTAACTTTGAATATCAAGGTTCCACGGAAAGAAGAAACTTCCACATCTAATCCGAAACACCAAGGAGACGTTATCACTTGTTTTTAAGTCCGACCACGAAGTCTACTATAAAGGATATCGTCTCCTTTTCTCAGCTGGTATGCCTTTGCTTCAGCTAGCGAGTTCGAATTCTCACTAAATTACATTTGAGCACTCTCGTTTCTTCTTATTTAAACTCACGAAGCGAGTTTCAATTTCCTTCGGATTTCTTGATGTTTCCTTTTTCCCATAGTTCCTCAGGTAGACGCAGTCAATGTACAGTAGCGCTCAGAAGTGTCAAATGTTTGTTCACTGGTACTTTTCAGTCATAGCTCCTTTCCTACTGGATCTAATCAAGCGAAATTTCAATATGTATAGCACTGGTGTAGCGTGAATATCTACTACTATTAACCTGTTGATCATGTTCCGAATATCCCAAAGAGCCCGAAATCAAAACCAACTGAAAATAGGGACATTGGCGCTTCTAGGATTTCTTTCCTTTTTGTCATGTCCAAAGTGTACGAGCGCTAATGCGGAACCCAGAGGAGAAAAACGCAATTAAGGTGCCAATAACTGCAGACGTCACAAACTTGCTTTCAGCACAGTCTACAAACGCCTTCCCTTTAGTTATGTGGGCATTGCTGCTTTGCAGTCAAATAGTGTTGGATAGTGTGAAATATGCTTCAGTCGAACATATCAAAATTTCATACGATTTGCACCACTGGGAAAAACTTTACGGCAAGTTCAAGTTGGCCGAACACTTTTGAGCGCGACTGTATATTACTAATAATAATGAGTATCAACCCCATATCGGGTTTGGCCACCTTCAAGACAAGTTTGTTCCAATGACTTGTTCCATTTCAGAACCTAATGGAGACAGCTGCATTGAGGCTCGTCTATTAGTATACTATTCTGTAACTATCATTACTCTACTATCAATTGTGCTCATTGCTGGAATCATCGTTGCGGTGTTCAGAAGGTATGCTGGAGAGCACTTCGGGTAATGCGCCACGTATTTGCGTAGTTACTATTCTCACCTTGCTTGACTGGTCAGATGTAAGCAGAGGGAAGTAAAGACAAAACCATAAAAACCAATGTTTACCATGTGAGGCGAGGACAAACGTGGTTTCGGTAGTGTGAGACGTAGAGAGCACGGTTTCGCGGAGCACAAGTGAAGGTTCGAGTCCCATGCGACCCGAAGTTTTGCTATGACTCGCTAACCCTGTGATATTCAGATCTTGTACTGAGAGGAAATAACAGCAGTTAACAAACCGTCAAGTCAAAAAAAAAAAAGAAGTATCCT